AGGCTGAGGGAGGAGGCGGTGGCGGCGCCGGGCTGCGGAGTCCTTGGCCCCCGCACCTCCGGCCGCAGCTGCCCACACCAAGGTCTCTGCGCGTCACCTCCGAGAGGGGAATTTTCCAGCTGGTAATTTCTGCTGCGTCAACGCCCGGCCCCAGGAGGCAGCCTGGGGGCGTCTCTGTGCCCCCCGCCCGCGCCTCCCCGCGCGCCCCCCGCCCGCGCAGTGGAGCCGCACCCGGACCCGCCCGCGCGGAGTTTGCCAAGAGTCGGAACTGCAGGAGGTGGGCGCGGGAGGGAGGACGCGCCCTGAGGGTCCTTAGGGGTCATTGTCTCCCCAGAAGCTGGACGCCGGTCGGATCTGCATTTTAAGCACTGGCTGGACTGGGGTGCGGGGCCCTCCCTGTGCAGTGGCGAGGGGAGCGCAGAGAGTACCCGGGGCGAGGAGCGCTCGGGGCGCCAGAGGAAGCGGGGTCCGCTGCGAGCCGTGTCTTTGTTTCCCAGTAAATAGACATGTCAGTTTCACAGGGTAGCGAAAGTCAGTGTCTGACAAGTCAATCCCTAAGGTAAACGGGGAATTTTCTACACCACGGAGAGCGATCTGGCTAGTTGGGGAAACCCGAATCCGACTAACATTTTCACTATTTGTAGGCGAAACGAGCCACACACAATGGGGAGGACTGGGGAGCCTGGGAACAAACTAAATGGGGCGAAGAACAGATCATTCCTTACCCAAAGAAATATAAACAGAAGAAAGTTTGAAATTCTTAGTGTTTCCTCCCGCTTTCTGCGCTACAATCTCAGCGATGCATTTAGCGAAAGTGTCAAGATTGTTATCAGCGTGTTTAAAGAAATGCTAATTAAGAAACCTTTTCTGTGAACAGCCTGGGCTGAAACACCTGTCTGCCGAACAGTTTTGAGTGGTTGTCGAACCTCCTGGGTTGGGTCCATCCTCTAGGCTAACTTTCCGTTTGGGTGCAGATTGGCACATTCCGCTTGTTGCTGGCCCTCTCCTTGCCTGTGCAAGGCAGTGTTTCTACTCAGCGAGAGAATAGTTTGTTCACCGAAAGGAAATTTGTAGAAGGGGTTTACACGTGAATACTCAAACAGTGTATCATAGAATTCCTCCACCGTGGTATATTTTGTGATAGTATTAGATATTCTGAACTGAAAACTTTAGGACGCATCTACCGAATTATAACAGAAAAGAGTAGTAGGCAGAAGCCACTGCTTATATGAGAAATTTAGCACTGTCTCTTGAAAAGCTTGTAATTAGTCTCATATCTTTTACTGAAGGGAAACCAGATTGGTGATTATTGAGTTTCCTCTGATAGTGGGAAGAAATCGCTTTGGGTGTCTATAAATCCAAAATCCAGTTTTGCCTCAGGCCTGCCTAAGGACATCACTTAATTAAGCTTCTCACTGACACTACCTTGAATGTAAGAATTCTTTGGTAGTTTCTGTTCAGGTTCCGTTGTCCTTGCCCAACCCCAGTCTCACTTCTTTCTGACTAGTCATCTGTTACCAAGACCACTAGTGTTGCTTGGTACCCTACATCAGTCATAACAGGGTCAGACCAGCTCATTGCAACTGACTTCCCATGCCCCTTGGTCACACAGTAACAGAGAAACCAGGACATAACCACCATGAACTGAGAAAGTTCTCCAAAGACCTGAAGTATGGACAGCCAGAAGATGTCTTATATACATACACTGCCAAGTTGAATTAACAGTGAACTTCTCAACTTTTTCTTTATGTGTGGGGGGGTTCAAATTAAAGGAAATTGGGCCACTCTGTCCCTGTGGTCTGGTTTCTGGGGCGCTGCTATTCTCCATGAGGTCTTAGACCAACCTTTGAGAACTGAAGAGACCCATATAGAGTACAGGGTTCAGAACAGTGCCACAAACCTCTGAACCTGAGTTAATTCCTTGCAGTGTAGTCACTCTTTGTGCTTAGGCACCCTCCTGGCTGTTGGTGAGAAGAAAGTTATAGAAACTACTACCCTCTCATCCTCACACCAGGTCACAGCATCTGCCCTGGGCAACTTTATTTCAGGAACTGTTTTCTTGTCTAAGTTTCATAAAAAATGTAATATTTTCTGTGCTTTGAAAATGTATTTTACTTTAAATTCTCTAGAGTGATGGTAGAGTGTTAAGAATTCCCCCTATGAGTATATCCCCTGGCTGGGGATGGGGGAAAATTCTTGTCCCTAGAATTTGCTAAATGGCCTGACCTGTAAGAATAAACAGATTAGGGAAAATAGCAAGACCACAAGACAAGTCTTTGAAACACTGTTGATTTGATCCAGTCTTCTGGTTGCTACTCTGGCTTTGGCATGGCTAGTTTTGGCCATGAACTTGTGCCAAGTGCTGGGTTCCAAGACCATGGAGTTGATGGGGTTAGCTCCATTCTCCCCAACCCCTCCTCCTCCTTCCTCTCTCTCTTCTTTTTTGACATAGGCTCTTACTGTATAGCTCAGGCTGGCCTCAAACTCATGGCAATTGTCTTTCAATATCCCAAGTGCTGGGATTACAACCGTGTGCCACCACACCTGATCTGACCTTCTGTTCTTTTTTGAGACAGGGTCTCCCTATAGCCCCAACTGGCCTGAAACTTGCTATGTAGGCCAAGCTGGCCTCAAACTCACAGAGATCCACCTGCCTCTGCCTCCTGAGTGCTGGGATTTAAAGGCATGCACCACAGTACCCAGCTCTTTTTTTTTTTCCCCCTTAAAAACAACAAAACAATAAAACAGGGTTTCTTGTAGTTCAGACTAGCCTCAAACTCATTATGTAGCTGAAGATACTCATGAACTACTGATCCTCCTTGTTTCTACCTCCCAAGTTCTAGATCACAGGTATACATCATCAAACTGACTTTCTGCAGTTCTTGCTTAAACACCCAATCAGGCTTGTGCTTCGGTTTGCTAGTGATAGTACAATGTGTAGTGGCATTGTTTGTAGTTGGAAAAAAGAACACTTTCTTTTTTCATTATTTTATTTGGTCTTTTTAATAATAATATTTTTTTAAATTATTATTATTATTATTATTATTATTATTATTATTATTATTATTTGGTCTTTTTGAGACAGGGTCTCCCTGTAGCCGCAGCTGGCCTGGATTCGCTATGGAGACCAGGCTGGCTGTGAACTCACAAAGATCCACCTGCCTCTGCCTCTGGGATTAAAGGTGTGCGCCACCACGCCCAGCCTTTATTTGTTATTTTTATGTGTATGAGTGTATTACCTGCATGGGTGTAAGTGCACCTGTGTCGGGCAATACCCTAGGAGGTTAGAAGAAGGTACTGGATCCCCTGGAACTGGAGTTACAGACAGTTGTTAGCGCCATGTGGGTGCTGGGAATCAAACCCCAGTCCTCTGCAAGAGCAGTAAGTGCTCTTAACCACTGAGCCATCTCTCCAGTGGTTATTTGGTCTTTTAGAGACAGAGTATCCTATAGCCCCATCTGTCTTGAAACTTGCTATGTAGATGATCTCACAGAGATCTGCCTGCTCTGCCTCCCAAGTGCTGGGATTGAAGGGATGCACTACCACACCTGGCCAAGAAGGAACACTTACTGACAGACTGTTCTATTAAAGGCTGAAAGAAAGCAAGATAAGTCACATTTGACTTAAGTATAGTTTATACAAGATTTTCAGTTGAATAGTTGAATTTCAGCAGTGCCATTTAGCTTTGCTTTAGATTTTAAAATTACTAAGTATTTTAAAACATTTGGAGTAAAAAATTACTAACCTAGTTATTTCAGAGTAGGAAGTTAGAAAACATCAGTATGTTTTTTAGCAGCACACAGGTTTTTGGGTTTTGACAGATGCGTTTTCTGAATTGTGTTACATTCTGGCCTTCCTTATTTCGTTCCTTTTTTTCTTTTTTTCAGTTTTTGAGACAAGGTCTTGCTATATAGCCCACACTGATCTTGAATTCAAGATCCTTTGCCTCCTGAGCATTGGGATTTCAAGTGTGTGTTGCCATGCCTAGCCCTAAGGTTTCTTATGATTGTTCTTTGACATTCAGATCCTGCTGTGAACCAGACTTTAGGTAAGGTTCAGGGACAGAAGGCCAGTGTTATAGCCTGGCGTGGCAGCACAGGGCTTTAATCCCAGCAGTCGGGAGGCAGAGGCAGGTGGATCTCTGTGAGATTAAGGCTAGTCTGGTCTACATAGTGAGTTCCAGGTCGGCTGAGGTTACAGGGAGACCCTGTCTCAAAAAAAAAAAAAAAAAAAAAAAAAAAAAAAAAAGCTCATTTTATGGTGGGTGTCAGAGGCACACAGAGACTACTGATGTGACCATAAATACTGGTGAGAAACATCAGTGTGTAGGGAAGGGGTCTTGGGGTTTCTACAGGTGACCTGAGGAAACAGCCTCCAGCACTCCATTCCCAGAACCGGCACTCAGTGACCCGAATCTTACTTTGCTTCATTGACAGTGGATTGCTAGTGAGAGCAGGCAAATTTGGGTTGAAAATGATCATGTTGGGTGAGAGGAGTGAGTGATTAAGTACATATTTTATCTTTTGTATCTTCAACACATAATCCCTTCCTGTGGTTTGACATGGGAAGACCTCTCCTTTCGGAAAGCAGTGATACGATTCTGTAGCTGCCCCGTTGGAGTGTGTTCAGTGCGCAGGTGGTGTACTGAGTTTCTCTTACTTTCCTTTTTCTTTTTAAAATTTATGTTCACTAATGTATCTGCCTGGGTTCTAAGAGCAAAGCACTGGCTCTTCATTGGGTGGAGGAACATTAAGTTTACCCTGACATAGCACCTCCCTGTCTTAGGTGCTGAGTCACCAACTCCCTGATTTTCTTGAGGTAAGCCCACCAAGAGTTGGTTGCACAGATGGCATACTGTTGAGTTCTGAAGAAGCTTGAAGACCCAGTCAGGTTTCTGGGCTGTGGGATCACAGCCAGATAAACAGGCTTTCTAGAAACAGCTCCTATAACACATGGTTAACCACAGGCACCTGCTCAGTAGAGGTTAAGAAATGAAGGGGCTGGAGAGATTGCTCAGTGGTTAAGAGCACTGACTGCTCTTGCAGAGGACCTGGGTTCACTCCCACATGGCGGCTAACACCTGTCCATAACTACAGTTCCAGGGGATCTGACATCTTCTGACTTCTGCAGCCATTGTACAACAAGGGTGTACTTAAACACATGCAGGCAATACACTCATAAAATACAAAATAAAATATTTTAAAAAAAGGTAAAGTTAGCCAGGCGTGGTGGTGCATGCCTTTAATCCCAGCATTTGGGAGGCAGAGGCAGGCGGAT